ATTGACTTATAAGGAAGTAGATTTCATGAAATTGAATTATGGGCAGCGTTGGTAATATTATGATTATGAAATATAATATATATTCTTGTTGGAATTGCAAGCAATTGGAATGAGTTAATTATAGTAAAATGGTTTAGGCTTCATCTAATAACACTTTTCAATACTTACTTTTAATTTTTATATTTTTTATTATTTTAAAAAAATATAAAATATTAATTAAAATAAATATTAAATTTTATATATTTTAAGAATGTTAAAAGATAAAAAAAATTATAACTACAGTTATAGATCAATATTATCAAACTAAGTCTTTAGCATCTCAGATATAAAATTGAGATGATTTCATGTGTTGCCCTTTTAAGATTTTGTAAGTTAAAACTACATGACTAAGTACGAGTTGTTCATGATTACAGGAGAAGATGAGTTATGTTATTAATTGGAGAAAAGAATTTTTATGAGTTGATTTGTAAAGGTTATTTGACTTTATAATTGATTAGAAAGCGGGAATTCTATATGAAGCCATTAATTTTTGACAAAATTGATTAATGAGCGGCTATGAGTTCCGGAAAGTGGTTGGAAACTTGAGAGCATTAATTTTCTTTTATTCCTATCCGGTCAGTGAATGACAAATGGAATTGGTTCATATTCCTCTTTATTAAATTGGGGGTATTTCAACTCGTTACCCATAGGTTAAGATTAATTAGTGATATAAGTTGGTGTTTGCTTTTTGTTGGGTTACGAGAAATCTTTAGGAATTGCTTTTGATTACAAGTTGATGAAGTAAGTTAACGAGCTATACACTCTACAAATTTTATTAAAGTTGTTTTAAATAAATAAGTTTTGAAAAAATTTGTTAGGTGGGAAAATCCTATAGCGACTATAAAAATAAGAAGCTTGTGACTTAAATATAAGGAAAACCACTCTACCTATTGTCGATTGGTTTTAAGTTGAAGCAAATCTTGTGTTGAGCCCACACGTACAATTTTCACATGGTATTGATACTGAAAATTGATATTGGCATGTTAAATCCATATTGATAGGGAATTCTAGGTATATTTGATATATAATATGAAGATCAACAACTAGTAATAATTTGAATTTGAGCTTTTGAAGGTCTATCGTTCATATCTCGCAAGTGTGGGGTAGCATGGAGTCATGGGCTCAACATCAAGCGTGTAAGTAAAGGAGATTGTAATGCTAGAATTCGAGCTTGAGTTTTTGAGAGCATGTGAGACCTTGACCTGAAGATTTGTTTGAATTATTAGACTAATAATGACTTTTAGCCTAGGTCACTTCAGTTGGTGTAGACTCCACATCACTTGAGGTAGATCCTATGCTTGTGGCCCAATGAACCTAGTTCTAATTATGTTTGGGCTTGATAGCCCAATGGGCTTAGTTTTAAGTGGGGGAGATTATAACGCCTCAAATTCCAACGTCGATAAAGAATTTTGGGTAAGTTTAATATATAAGGATAGAGACCAATCACTACTAACAATTTATATTTAAGCTTTTGAGATCCTATGAATTTTGACCCGAAGAGTCTTTAGCCAATGATGGGTTTCAACCCTAGTTGTTTCAATTTATCTTTAAATAAATTACTATTAAATTATTATATTGTAACTGTTTTATTTTGAAATGAGATGAATTTCAAGTCAAGCATATTAGTTTTGTTTAAATTTTGAGATGAGATAATGGTAATGTGAAAGTAATTATTTTTATATTTGAAATGGTTTGTGTTTGAATTGGCTATAAAGTTAATTTTTATTAGGGTTAAGCTTATGGTATTGTGATAAACTGAAGATCTATGAACTATGTATGTGAGGCATGGATATTATGAGTTGAGTATTATGTATCATGAATTTTGAATTGTACATCGTAATCATTATCCAATCATAAAGAACAAAAAAATCAAGGTTTTATGAACGAAATATGGTTTTATTACTTATTTTTGAGAGGTAATCGGACTAAGATTGATTATTTAAGGTATACTTTAAGTTGGATAATGCATGAAAAATCATAATGATTTGAAGGTTAAATAACCTTACACAATCACCACACTATTGTGACTCAATGGACACAACTCCTTTGAAAAGCATGGTAATATTTAAAAACTTAAATTTCAAATCTTGATAATTTTATTTTTCATCTTTTAATTGTACTAATTTTTAAAAAATAATAATATCAAAATGATTTCATGCGTTGCCCTTTTAAGATTTTGTAAGTTAAGACTACATGACTAAGTACGAGTTGTTCATGATTAAAGGAGAAAATGAGTTATATTATTAATTGGAGAAAAGAATTTTTATGGGTTGATCTGTAAAGGTTATTTGACTTTATAATTGAAAAGGATGTGGAAATTCTATATGAGCCCATTAACTTATGACAAAATTGATTAATGAACCGCCATGAGTTTCGGAAATTAAAATGCCCCTGAACAGTCAGATGCATGTGATGTGACTCCCTACATTCATCGAGTGTGGCATTTTCGCCCCTTTTTAAGAATTTTCTTAATTAAGATTTAGATTGAGATTGCTAACATGTAATTGTAATAGTTAACTTTTTAGTATTTTAATATTTAAAAAATATATAAAATATATTTAATATTTCTTTTAATTAATATATTTTAATATTTTTTAAATAATAAAAAATATAGAAACTAAAAACTAAATTATTAAAAAACATTGTCAAACAAATCTCAAGCTGT